TTGTTTTATTATTTTTTTTTTACTAGTAATGGCGGCAATCAGCAACTTATAACGGGACTGCAGTGGGCATTCTGACACTGATTTGGTGTCATTGACATCCCCACCAATACAGTGATCAGTGCTATTAAAGCACTGACACTGTACTAATGAGCAGTAAGGGGTTAATAAGTGGGGCGATCAAAGGGTTAACTGTGTGCTGTTTTACTACGTGGGCTGTGTGCTGTTTTACTACGTGCTGTGTGCTGTTTTACTACGTGGGCTGTTTCACTGTAAACACGCTGCTTTGTATAGCTCTGCTATGCAGAGCCACACAAAGCAGTGTGCAGAAGCTGACGGGGGGGAGATCTGTATTGTTTACATACAGGTTTCTCCCCATCGGAGATACTCTGCGGTCACCGGGTGCCAGCAAGCAATATACAAAACGGACAAAAAATGGATGTAAACGGACATACGGTCCGTTTTTTTCATTGGTAAAGGATGTTAAAAAGATGGATGTAAACTGATGAAAAACGTACGTGAACTGATCTGTTTTTTCTTGGAAAAAATGGGACTGAACTGATGAAAAAAACGGAAGGCTCGTATGAAAGGACCCTAAATAACCTGACAGGTGGTTTAACCTTTCTAGCGGTAATCCCGAGTGTGACTTGGGGTTAATTTACAGTACCAAAAGCGGTAACCCCGAGCCACACTCGGGATTACACTGTAGTGCTTGTGCTGTGATCCCCCAATCCTTACCTTGTCCTGCGATCCCTCGATGTCCTCCCACTGTGTCCTCCGGCCGATGCCAGCATCCGTCTTCTGGGTTCCCTTCCCTGCGAACGTCGGGACGCAGGGGGGCAGAACTGGCGGAAGATTCAAAAAAGTAAAAACATGAAATACACACAATACATTGTAATCTGTTAGGATTACATTACTGTATCAAACCTTTCACCTAAATTTTGTCCCTAGTGCTTTGTCCTGTGCCCTGCCTGCACTATTACCTTTCTTTCTGCCTGGAAACTTGAGAAGGTCCATGGCATCTAAAAAGCATCCCTTTAGGTCAAAAGCGGTTTTTCTCTTGACCAGCTAGAAAACAGCGATAGTGAATTAGAATCACTTGCAGAATTGAGCGATAGTGATTCGTGGGAAAGTAAGTCATCAGACACTGAAAGAGACAACAGCGACGATTCTGTGACTGAGCTCAGTGATGTGCGAACTTGGTGCTCTATTTCAAAATTCAGTGTTTTTGGTTTGATCACATTATTGAATTAAATGTATTATTATATATTATTATTTTTTATAATTATTTATTATATTGTAATTTTGTGTTTCAAACTTTATCATACTAGACTTTGAACAGATTTAAGTGAGTTATTCCTAAGTATTACATGCCTACAATATAAAACAACAACTTTCCATGCAAAACAATGTACTCCTTTGACATTCAAAAATATTGACATAATTAGACCGCCAGGGAGGTTAACTCAAGTATCCACCAAAAACTGAAATATGTTTTGGATGGACTGATCTTTTAGGGATTATAATCAGCCATTTGTCCATGTAACACCTTGCTGTCATTGTCTTTTGATTGCTTCTAGCAGCCTGTCAGCAAATGCCCAGGGTTAAGAAGGTTGTCCTTCTCTACTATAGAAAGCGTTATAATGCTGTAGAAAGTATTTCAAGTGCAATGTATCATGCACTTTGCAATAGATCATTAAAGTTGATCTAATAGTTGCCATTTAGCTTGCCTAGTTGGTAATTGCTTTAAAGAAATACAATTTTCACTCGTCCAACTGTTGCCATTACTGGTACTGGTCCACAGCAAATACAGGTGAAACTCAAAAAATTTGAATATCGTGCAAAAGTTCATTTATTTCAGTAATGCAACTTAAAAGGTGAAACTAATATATGAGATTACATGCAAAGCAAGATAGTTCAAGCCGTGATTTGTCATAATTGTGATGATTATGGCTTACAGCTCATGAAAACCCCAAATCCACAATCTCAGAAAATTAGAATATTGTGAAAAGGTGCAATATTCTCGGCTCAAAGTGTCCCACTCTAATCAGCTAATTAAGCCATAACACATGCAAAGGGTTCCTGAGCCTTTAAATGGTCTCTCAGTCTGGTTCAGTAGGAATCACAATCATGGGAAAGACTGCTGACCTGACAGTTGTGCAGAAAATCATCATTGACACCCTCCATAAGGAGGGAAAGCCTCAAAAGGTAATTGCAAAAGAAGTTGGATGTTCCCAAAGTGCTGTATCAAAGTACATTAATAAAAAGTTATGTGGAAGGGAAAAGTGTGGAAGAAAAAGGTGCACAAGCAGCAGGAATGACTGCAGCCTGGAGAGGATTGTCAGGAAAAGGCCATTCAAAAGTATTGGAGACTTTCACAAGGAGTGGACTGAGGCTGCAGTCAGTGCATCAAGATCCACCACACACAGATCCTGGACATGGGCTTCAAATGTCGTATTCCTCTTGTCAAGCTGCTCCTGAACAACAAACATCAGAAGCATCTTACCTGGGCTAAAGAAAAACAGACCTGGTCTGTTGCTCAGTGGTCCAAAGTCCTCTTTTCTGATGAGAGCAACTTTTGCATCTCATTTGGAAACCAAGGACCCAGAGTATGGAGGAAGAATGGAGAGGCACACACTGCAAGATGCTTGAAGTCCAGTGTGAAGTTTCTACAGTCTGTGTTGATTTGGGGAGCCATGTCATCTGCTGGTGTTAGTCCACTGTGCTTCATTAAATCCAGGGTCAATGCAGCCGTCTACCAGGAGATTTTGGAGCACTTCATGCTTCTTTCCGCAGACGAGCTTTATGGGGATGCTGACTTCATTTTCCAGCAGGACTTGGTACCTGCCCACACTGCCAAAAGCACCAAAACCTGGTTCAATGACCGTGGGATTACTGTGCTTGATTGGCCAGCAAACTCGCTTGACCTGAACCCCATAGAAAATCTATGGGGCATTGTCAAGAGAAAGATGAGAGACATGAGACCGAACAATGCAGAAGAGCTGAAGGCTGCTATTGAAGCATCCTGGTCTTCCATAACATCTCAGCAGTGCCACAGGCTGATAGCTTCCATGCCACGCCTCATTGAGGCAGTCATTGCTCCAAAAGGGGCCAAAACCAAGTACTGAGTACATATGCATGCTTATACTTTTCAGAGGTCCGATATTGTTCTATGTACAATCCTTGTTTTATTGATTGCATGTAATATTCTAATTTTCTGAGATTGTGGATTTGGGGTTTTCATGAGCTGTAAGCCATAATCATCACAATTATGACAAATCACGGCTTGAACTATCTTGCTTTGCATGTAATGAGTCTATCTCATATATTAGTTTCACCTTTTAAGTTATATTATTGAAATAAAATGAACTTTTGCACGATATTCTAATTTTTTGAGTTTCACCTGTATTTGCTGTGGACCAGTACCAGTAATGGCAACAGTTGGACTATGGCTACACAGTCTGTGTCGACATAGCCACTTGTAGTCTCAACCAGGGCGAATGTGACAGAGTGATTGCATTAGAAATTCTAAAGGACCCTCTGCACACTGGTATATACCCTTTCAAGCAGACTTTGCAATAAATAGGGATATTTAGTTCACACATATTGCAATACATGCTTAAGCTGGCCAACTGCTTCAAAGTAATCCCTCTATGGCCAGTCCTACTCTGCCTTGCCTACGCAAATGCTACTGTGGACACAATGCTAACATAGGGGAAAAGACACAATGGGGAGAGCTACAAGGTTCAGGTCTGGCTACTGACCCAACAATACAACAAACAAGAGATCCCTGTGCTCAAATCCCAACAGCTAGTGCATGCATTTATCCATCAGGTGCTAAAGGGGTGTAACCACATATTAACACTAGAAATTCTGAAGGACCCTCTGCACACTGGTATATACACTTTCAAGCAGACTATGCAATAAATAGGGATATTTAGTTCACACATATTGCAATACATGCTTAAGCTGGCCAACTGCGTCAAAGTAATCCCTCTATGGCCAGTCCTACTCTGCCTTGCCTACGCAAATGCTACTGTGGACACAATGCTAACATAGGGGAAAAGACATGACATGACAGTAGTTACTCTATAACAGGAAGTGCTTGAACGGGGACCTTCCTGACAGGATCATCAGGTGTTCATTTAATGAAAACTGCCTATTTAGAAAAAAAAATCTTTCGAAATCCCATTAACATGGTAAAGCTTTATGAGATCTTAAAGTGTTTCCAAATACTGTAACAAAAATGTAATATATTGTAGGTTGCCAGTTTTTTCATTTTGTGACTACAACCATTTTGTTTTTTCAATATCTTTTTCCCTTTTTTACATCTGTTGATCCTGCCAGGAGCACACATCATGTCGAAATGGTACTATAGAACTTGCCTCCTCTTCTCTTCATTCATATAATAAGGGGAGGTATTTTGTGGTACCACACAGATAGCTGGGAACAATGTAACGTGTTAAAAGGGCATTAGGGTCAGAGAGCACAGAAAGTTTTGGCAAGGTCAACAGGTAATTATTTTGCACCTATAGAACAAATATAACAAAACACTGGTATATTTAACAGACCAAAAGGCAGGAATTAATAGAAGTCAATTGTTAGGGTTTACATACATTATTGGTTGGGTTTAAATTTACTTTAATCAGTAGCAACTGTTATCCATTTTGAAACCAGTTTGCCGTTGATTGTTGGGTTAGGCAGAGTAGCTTTGCCTGTAGTTTGACAGAAGATGGACAGTTTTCTGTACTCTTCTTCTACAGATGGCATTTTTTGCACTATTATTCCATATTGTCCCCATGCTACAGATCCACAGGTATTGCAAGTATTGTGAAAAATGCAGACTAAAAGTTTACTTATATTAGCCTTAATATCATAATTTATATTAGCCTTTTTTGTACATATGATCAAAAGTATATTTTTGGAAGGTTTTATTTTAAATTTATCACAGGGATATAGATTTTAATTGTCTTTTTTTTCTTTTTCTTTTTTTTTTTTTTTAGCACAAACTAGTACAAACGTAGTGCTCACATTTCTAAGGAGCGTCCTCTTAAAATCAGTAAGAGGCACAGTGAATGAGGTGGCATCTCTTATCACTTCCATGGAGCCTAGTGATCATTCTCTGTCTGGTTCACATCATTGTAATATTACTGATATATTGCTCAGAGCTTTACCAGAGAAATGGAGTTTCAGCAACTTGGATAGAAAAGAGGCAAAGCATAAAGGTAAGGTGTTTTTTTTTTTTTTGCTTTTTGTATGTATGTACATACCTTTTGAATTAGGTGATCAGTTGTTTTAGATGTACGTGCGGTCACTGAAACCAATGGTCCCAGCTGACATTTACAGAGCCTTTCACATATAGATCTCTAATGGCATATAAGAAATAACCTACCGCTGATATATATTGCAGCAAGGGAGGGAAAATTGTTATATTTTTATTTTGTAGTCCAACTGCAAGTTTGAACATGTGTTAAAGATTTTAGCCCCCTTCCCTATTGCACCCCGCATACACATAAAATGCTGCTAGTTTTGTCTAGGGCTTTCAGAGGAAGGCAAATACTTGCCCTGTACCTTTATCCTATGGCAGCCGGTGCTCTGGTTTTCTCCCAGCCAGAATTTGAGCGGACCCTCTACATGGTCACAAACAATGCAGGACCACTGTCATGAAGTTGGCAAGGGGGCAAAAATTAGCAGCTTTCAGGAACTGATTTTCCAGCATTGAGGGACCATGTGGGACAGTGATGAAAGCTATGGACTGCACTGCTAAGGCCTTTCTAGACAGTCCAGCAGTATATACTGTGTATGTGGGGAGAGGATTGCCTCAGACTATTTTTTCTTGTGCCTATAATTCTAATTTAAAGTGTATCTAAACCTAGGAACAACAAGGTAATATTCCCTAGTGATCCTGCTAAAATCGCCAGGAAGTGTCAAATCCTGGCCTAGGGTGACAACCTTCTCATCCTGCACAATATTTGTGGAGCAACAGCTTTGTCACCCGGGACAGAAAATGTTTTATTGCTACAGGTAGCTTCTTTTCTCTATGATGTAAGAAGCGGGTGTTCTGTAGAGAGAATAGGTAAAACTGCTAACTGAAAATTCAACAAAGGCAAAAAGCATAGAAAATTATCAGCTTGCAAGTTTTTTTTTTCTCTGCAGGATCAACAGGTTGAAGGGTTATGCACGCTTTCAATTATATGGTAGCAAACATACGGGAGCAAATAATAGAAGTTTATTGTTAGGGTTCACCTACACTTTAAACAAACTTCTGTCAAGAAGAATTAATGGCAACATCCAATATTAATCTCATAGAACTGCATGCCTGTGCATTACTAAGTGTTATGTTTGTACCTAGATGAAAGAATTACAAAGTTAGTAACTGTACTTCAGGATAACTTTATTAAATAGATGATTACAGGTAGCTAGAAAAATTAAAATCTAAAATGTGTAAATGGAATATAAATAATTCAGTAGATGAGTACCTTGTTTAATATGGACATTCTTTTGCACAGGTTTTCAGGGAATCCTGGCAAAGGTAAAAATAAATGTGATGTTCACAAATATACATTGTATAAGTAAATTGCCCATACTGAGTAACAAAAGAGATATTTTACATTGTAGTTAACTGTGAACTGTGACCTGGCTTTACACATGACTGTTTTACAGGCTAGAAACTGAGTGGCTTACTTTAATGCTCGTTCTTGCTATTATTGGGCAGCTGCATGCAGGATCATGTTATTTGTTTTCCTTTTGTTTAGATTTCACGAGATTGACAGCTGAAGCAGTCTCCATTGTAATCAACAAGCTACCTTCAGTAATTGCCTGCTTGCTTCCGCCAATAAAGTATTTCTACTCTTTCTCTGAAAGAAAAATATCAGAACAGTATTCTGCAGTAAAGAATATGGGAATATTGGTGTGGAACCTTATTGCAATGATATGCCATATACTGAAAGATGGAAATGCCACAGAGCAGCTGACACATACCACTCTGTCTAGATGGAGCCAAGAGAGGCTTGCTTTGGTTTGCGGATGCTTGGAAAAGATAGCTGATTTCAAAGCCACTAATTCCAAGGATGAAATCCAAAGGGTGTTTGAAGATCTACAGAAACGCACACCTGGCTGGGTCGAGAACGAGCTGCTAAAAGCTAAAACTCTGTGCTGTAAGGGGTAAGATTAAAGTGTGTCCTTAACATGTAAAGTATGTCAGTGTAAAGTAAAGTGATCAGTAGGATCAACACCAGAACAATGATCAGCCACTGTACGTTTTACTACTGGAAAGTTCCTTGCCAGACCACATCTAAAATACAGTTTTGACCTCCTACTTGTATGAAGGACACAGTAGAGCATGGAGGAGTAACAAAATATTACAAAAACTGGATATGTTTATGTGTAAAGTAAATTGTTGGTTTGAACTAAAACTATTCTATTATTCTCTGAAAAAGCGCTGTGCCTAGTACAAAACATGTCGGAATAGATCCTGTTCCTGCTGGCTAATTTAACAAAGGAAGAACATTATTTTGCTTCTTGATTTTCAGTATTCCTGGTACAGTTACACTGTTCTATTCACAGAGCTGATTAGTTTTTCTAAATATAATATATTAATAAAAGTGTGTAATAGGAAGATATCACATTTGCTGTCTCAGCTAAACAAAGCTGTATACACATGGCAGTAAATGCATCAATGGGCCATTTATGGGAAGTAATAATGAGTAATTAATAGTTCAACCCATTAATCAATTTTAATTTTTAAAACATTTAGTGGTTAATATAAAATGAAGAGAGAACATCGCTATCCACACCTCCTCAGCACATCACAGTGTTTACTGCACACTGTGTCTGCATTTTCTGTCATTTATTCAATAAATGCAAGGCGTGAGGTGCTTGTTAGAGTGTTCTCAGTAGAACACCAAAGTGGTTATTCCATATATAAGGATGCAAGCTCAGTCAAGTCACCTTAACAGTTTCCCCTCCTCCTCCACCTGACAATCTCTTCCCCCCTCCCTATTCATTAAAATGAATGTGACTTTGCTTCATTGCCAATTCAGTCCAATAGAGACATTGGAATTCACCCACTGCCATCTGTTATTGTTCACAGGTAGGTTGAAACTGTTGGGGAACTAGTCTTTCAGGATTCCCCATAAGGACCCACCTAACAACAGGTGTAGTGGCTGTGAATTTGAGTTGTAAGGTTGGCAGAAACTGATGGGGAACGCTGAGAGACTAGTTCCCCATCAGGTCCACCCTGGCTGTAATTGACAGCAGATGGCAGTGTGCAGATTCCAAAGCCACTATTGCACTGATTAGCAACTATGGAATCCATCCAATGCCATCTGCTGTCCATCACAGGCAAGGCAACCCTAATGGGGAACTCTGATTCCCATCAGGCTCCACTTACTATCAGTGCAGTGTGACCTGTGTCAATAGTTGCTAGGATGAAGGTGGCCTTTGTCCTAGCATCCAATAAAGTAAATGTAAAATGCATTCAAATACGAGGGGCGTTCAAGTCAACCCTGGACTTTTGAGTTTATATAGTAAAAGAACAATTTTCAAGGCATGAAAACTGCATTTATTTTTTTAAATATTCCACTGCTACATTTATACACTAATCTAGCATTTAACTAATGCCTGGAAAGTTTCCTCAGACATATTTGTCAGTAATCCTGATTCATCCTAGGACAGTCTGCTTCACTCCATCAACATTGTGTCCACTGTTCCCACAGAAAGATTTGTCTCTTGTGCAATTTCACGACAGTTTATGCATCGATTATCCATGATCAGGCTTGCACGCACTGAATGTTCACAAGAATGAATGCTGTGGGCTGGGAATGACCATGGCCGAGATCGTCACTGACGGATGTATGGCCATTTTTGAAACGTTTACACAATTCAGATGTCTTAATGCGGCTGAGCATCCCCATCACCGTACTGTGTTTGAAGTCTTCTGTAGATATCCACAGGCTTTACGCCTTAGTTCACAAGAAACGTCATCACCACGCACTGTTCCATGCACTAACATTGTTGTCTGCCATCTTGATTAATGGTCTCTGGACTGGCCCACGTCATGTGCGCCGCCTATCAGTAATAGGACACACTTGACACTACTGCATGTGTAGTACCATCATGCTAACATCCCTTTTTATACCTATAAAATTAAAAGTCCCAGTTTGACTTGAACGCCCCTCATATATTAATAAAGTAATGAAAATACAACACCCTCCGTCCCCCTGTAGGCCATCTTTGAGTTGATCTTAACTTAAAGTAAGTATAAAGCTGCATTTTTGGGGTTTTTTGTAATTAAAATAATAAACATGTTATATTGGCCTGCTCTGTGTAATGGTTTTGCACAGAGCAGCCCCGATCATCCTCTTCTCAGGTCCACCACTGGCACTCCTGGTCCCTTCCCCCTGCCGAGTGCCCTGAGAGCAAACCGCTTACTCTGGGGGCACTCATGCATACTCGCTCCTGAGCTGGCCCTGTATACCCATAAGACATACTGAACGTGGCTTGGCCCGCTCCCTGTTTCCTCCTCACTGGCTGTGATTGAAAGCAGCAGGAGCCAATGGTTCCCGCTGCTGTGTCTCAGCCAATTAGTAGGGACACCCGGGAGAGCTGAGGCTCTCGTGAACAGCACTGGATTGTAATCAGGTTCAGGTAAGTATCAGGGAGGCTAAGGGGGGAGCTGCGCACTAGAGTATTTTACCTTCATGCATCAAATGCATGAAGATAAAAAGAACCTTCAGCCTTCAGAACTAGTTTAAACCGCCAGATTGCTGGCGATAATTCTTTTAAACTCTTTTGTGGCCATAGTGACAGATTCTAAAAGTGGTGGTAGTAAGAACTACCTAAAACTGGTGCAAGTGTCAGTAATTGTTCTGAAACTGGTGCAAGGCTTTAATGAATAAGGCACAGGCCATGTTAAAGGGGCCATACCACCAGAAAAGTGACATTACTGCTTTATTGAATTCTCCTGATTGTCTCAACTGAACTGTCACATTCTATGCTTATAATATAGATTGTCAAGCTCTTATGGATCTACATTTTTCCTGTCTTTCAATTGTCTCACCCATATCTGTTTTTTTGTAGATGAATGAATCACATTATGCAAATGTAAATTTGAAGTAAAGATGCAAATCCTTAATGGGGAGCGGGGGGGGCCAGTCTATAAAGCAGAACTTCCCCTTTTGGGTGGAACTCCGCTTTAGACTGAGCATCATGATGGGGAAGAAAGGGGATTTAAGTGAGGAGGCATGGTTGTTGGTGCCAGATGGGCTGGTCTGAGTTCTTCAAAAAACTGCTCATCTACTGGTTTTTTCGCGTACAGTCTCTAGGGTTTACTAATGAAAATATCAAGTGAGTAGCAATTGTGTGGACAAAAATTCCTTGTTGAAGTCAGAGGTCAGAGGAGAATGGGCAGACTGATAGAAAGGCAACAGTAACTCAAATAACCACTTGTTACATCCAAGGTATGCAGAATACCATCTCTGAATGCACAACACATCGAACTTTAAAGCAGATGGGCTACAGCAGCAGAAAACCACATCGGGTGCCACTCCTTTAAGCTAAGAACAGAAAACGGAGGCTACAATTCGCACAGGCTCAACAAAATTGAACAATGGAAGTTTGGAAATACGGTGCCCCGATTTCAGCTGAAACATTCAGATGGTAGGGTCAGAATTTGGGCATAAACAACATGAAAGCATGGATCCATTCTGCCTTGTATCAATGGTTTAGGCTGGTGGTGGTGTATTGGTATGGGGGATATTTTCTTGGCACACTTTGGGACCCTTAGTACCAATTGAGAATCGTTTAAATGGCACAGCCTACCTGAGTATTGTTACTGACCATGTCCATCTCTTTATGACTACAGTGTACCCATCTTCTGATGCCAACAGGATAATGCACCATGTCACAAAGCTCAAATCATCTCAAACTGGTTTCTTGAACATGACAATGAGTTCACTGTGATCCAATTGCCTGCACAGTCACCAGAACTTAATCCAATAGAGCACATTTGGGATGTGGTGGAACTGGGGATTTGCATCATGCATGTGCAGCTGGAAAATCTGCAGCAACTGCGTGATACTATCATGTCAATATAAACCAACATCTCTGAGGAATGTTTCCAACACCTTGTTGGATCTATGCCCTGAGGATTTAAGGCAGTTCTGAAGGGAAAAGGGGGTCCAACCCAGTACTAGCAAGGTGTACCTAATAAAGTGGCCAGTGAGTGTAGTAGTCTCATGCAATATGTTTTCTGAAGCATGTCCCCAATCTCCAATGACTCATAGCATGTTTACAGTCTCTTGACAGTCTCCTGTTGCATGTCCACTTTCTCTGACCATCTGCTTTATCATGCCTGTAGTCTCTGACCATCTCTTGTATCATGTCTGCAGTCTTTGGCCATCTCTTTTATCATGTCTGCAGTCTCTGACCATCTCCTGTTACCTGTACCATGTCTGCAGTCTCACAGCTACTCTTGTATTATGCCCACAGTCTCTGACCATCTCTTGTATCATGCCTGTAGTCTCTGAAGATCTCTTGTGTCATTTCTGCAGTCTCTGACAATCTCCTGTACCATGTCCACAGTCCCTGACCATCTCTTGTATCATGTCTGCAGTCTCTGACCATCTCCTGTGTCATGTCTACAGTCTCTGACTATCTCCTTTATTATGTCCACAGTATCTCACCATCTTCTCATCAAGAAAGTTGACCACCACTGATCTAGTGTATAGCTTATAACAAGTACCCTGTATTTTAGAACCTCTTCATAGCAGTGAGCCATGCTGATAGCACAACCTCTGGTGTGTGCTAGGAGACAGTGCTGATACGCCGATCCTAGCACATCGCACTGTTTACTGTCCAGTGACGTTTTGACTTTGATTTACTACTGTACCAAGATCTATCTCCTATTCCCTTATGAAGCATGGGTCCTGTTGTGCCTCCAGGTTAACAAGCAATTTATAAGAAAACAATGGATGTTTAGTATCCAAATCTCTCTGCAGACAAATAGTTTCAAACTCGTATAAATATATAAAATATACTGCAGGGGTCACCGAGGCCATAAAAGCAAGTGTTTTCAACACACTTTTTAAAGCAATTATGCCTGCTTAGGACCCTAATTTCATTGTCAGCTTAAACAACTACACTATATTGCCAAAAGTATTGGGACACCCCTCCAAATCATTGGATTCAGGTGTTTCAGTTACTTCCATGGCCACAGGCCTGCATGGCTGTCATCCCAGAAGTAAGCCTCTTGTAAAGATGTAAAGATGATGCACAACAAAGCACACAGTTTGCTGAAGACAAGCAGACTAAGGACAGGGATTACTGGAACCATGTCCTGTTGTCTGAAGAGACCAAGATAAACTTATTTGGTTCAGATGGTGTCAAGTATATGTGGTGACAACCAGGCGAGGAGTACAGAGACAAGTATGTCTTGCCTACAGTCAAGCATGGTGTTGGGAGTGTCATGGTCTGCCAGCACTGGGGAGCTACAGTTCATTGAGGGAACCATGAATGCCAACATGTACTGTGACATACTGAAGCAGAGCATGACCGGAGACTGGGCTGCAGGGCAGTATTCCAACATAACGACCCCAAACACACCTCCAAGACGACCACTGCAGCTCCGTGATGTCATCATGGAGGAGTGGAAGACGACTCCAGTGGCAACCTATGAAGCTGTGGTGAACTCCATACCCGACAGGGTTAAGGCAGCGTTGGAAAATAATGGTGGCCACATAAAATATTGACACTTTGGGCCCAATTTGGACATTTTCACTTAGGGGTGTACTCACTTTTGTTGCCAGCGGTTTAGACATTAATGGCTGTGTGTTGAGTTATTTTGAGGGGACAGCAAATTTACACTGTTATACAAGCTGTACACTCACTACTTTACATTGTAGCAAAGTGTCATTTCTTCAGTGTTGTCACATGAAAAGATATAATAAAATATTTCCAAAAAATGTGAGGGGTTTACTCACTTCTGTAAGATACTGTAGGCATACAGAATGCTTCTACAAACATTTGTTAAAGAATGGGTCGCTCTCAGGAGCTCAGTGAAATAAAGCGTGGTACCGTGATAGGTTGCTACCTCTGCAATAAGTCCATCCATGAAATTTCCTTGCTACTAAATATTCCACCTGGTATTGGTATTATAACAAAGTAGAAGCAACTTGGAACAACAGTAACTCGACCAAGAGGTGGTAGGCCACGTAAAATGACAGAGTGGGGTCAGTGCATGCTGAAGTGCACAGTGCGCAGAATTCACCAACTGTCTCCAGAGTCAATAGCTAAAGACTTCCAAACCTCATGTGGCCTTCAGATTAGCACAACAGTGTGTAGAGAGCTTCATGAAATGGGTTTCCATGGCCAAGCAGCTGCATCCAAGCCTTACATCACCAAGGGCAATGCAAAGCATCTGATGCAGTGGTGTAAAGCACGCCTCCACTGGACTCTAGAGCAGATGAGACGTGTTCTCTGGAGTGACAAATCACGCTTCTCTGTCTGGCAGTCCAATGGACATCTCTGGACTTGGCAGTAGCCAGGAGAATGGTACTTGCCTGACTGCATTATGCCAAGTGTAAAGTTTGGTGGAAGGGGGATTATGGTGTGGGGTTGTTTTTCCAGGGGTTGGGCTTGGCCCCTTCATTCCAGTGAAGGGAACTTTTAAGGTATCAGCATACCAAGACATTTTAGAAAATTTCATGCTCCTAACTTTGTGGGAACAGTTTGGGGATGGCCTCTTCCTATGCCAACATGACTATGCACCAGTGCAGAAAGCAAAGTACATAAAGACATGGATGAGCGACTTTGGGGTGGAGGAACTTGACTGGCCTGCACAGAGTCCTGACCTAAACCTGACAGAACACCTTTGGGATGAATTAGAGTGGAGACTGCGAGCCAGGCCTTCTTGTCCGACATCAGTGCCTGACCTCACAAATGTGCTTCTGGAAGAATGGTCAAACATTCCCATAGACACATTCCTAAACCTTGTGGATGGCCTTCCCAGAAGAGTTGAAGCTGTTATTGCTGCAAAGGGTGGGCAAACTCAATATTGAACCCTACGGACTAAGACTGGGATGATGATAAAGTTCATGTGTGTGTAAACGCAGGTGTCCCAATACTTTTGGTGTATAGTGTATTTGGTGTTTAGTGTATCTATATGTAAACACTGGTAGTCTTTTTTAGGATTTTGTATAGAAGACATTTTTTTCTTTTTATCTTTTTGTAGTACTAACACTGGGGTAGATGTACTAAAACTGGAGCACTCAGTATCTGGTGCAGCTGTGCATGGTAGCCAATCAGCTTCTAACTTCATCTTGTTTAATCTTAAATTGTAAGCTCCAAGGAGGAGGGCCATCCTAACCCTCTTGTATTGAACTGTATTGTTGCTGTATCATCTCCCATATTGTAAAGCGCTAAGCAAACTGTTGGCGCTGTACAAATCCTGAATAATAATAATAATAATTAAGCTTTGGCAATAAAACCTGGAAGCTGATGTGCAGAGCTGCACCAGATTTTGCACTCTCCAGTGTTAGTAAATAACTCCCACTGTATCTTGAAATATTCTAAATATCAAGCCCTATATCTTAAATTGCAATGTTTATAAGCATTGCCATCTGCTTCTGTGAGCTCTTCCATAAAATATGTATAGCTCTTGTAGTTTGTTAACCTTTATGTATAAGCCAGATCACCGTAATACACGTTTAATAGAACTTATCATATTGGTTCCCTTTTTTGCAATTTTTTGGTGTTTTGATAAGTGATGAAAGCAACATATATCAGTTGTTATACTCTTGACAACTATCCTCTCCATTCATAAGAGGGTGCATTGAATAAAACTTGGCACTGTGCTGAATGCAGTATATGTCAGTTCTATTCCTGTCACTGTCCTCTCCAGTCAGAAGAGGTATTTAGTGAGCAATGTAGTAGCCGAAATGTCCAAGTTTTTATATTCATTGCCGTCCAAAGCACCTCTACAATCACAAGTGGTATATACTGTAGAAAGCAATGGCCTTCCCCTGAAAGTGACCATCAAACCCAGTATTGCATCACCTGTTTGTCAGCCCTTCATGGGGAAATGGTCCTCTTTTATTGGCAGTTATTATGGACTCCGATGATAGCACTTTTATTTGAAAGAGCGCTGTAGGCAGATCCAGGCTCAGCACTGTGAACATATACAGTATGTGTAGGCACACACTTGGAACATTGCTGAACACTTGCTGGAATATTAACTTTGCATTTTTGTTTGATTCATTTTTCATTGAAATCCATGGAAATGCCTCATAATGCATGCACTAAGATGCATGTTCATGAACGTCAAAGCATCATGGTGAATGTGAATGTGTCAATATGCACTGATGTGCATTATGACATGCGTTTTAATGTACTTCTTTTTAGTTAAATGGAAAACACATCAAGAGGAAAAAGGCAGGTGTGAGTATGCTCCTTTTGTGCATGTCCATTGTTTATCCATATGTCTGCTATAAGCTAGATTGCTTTTTGGAGGATACAAGTATTGTGTCATTACATTGAATTATGGTCACACTGTTCTGCTGTATAGTACCGCAATATGCAAGCATCATATAGATCAGACATCACTAAATGGCAGACCGCGGTCTGGACCTGAACCGCATGATAGTCCTGTCCTGACTGCAGTTGTGGCAATTGGCAACCTGGGTGTACTCTCTGTCCTACCCACTTTTGGCGCAGTCTGAGCAACCAGTCACCTGCTGATTACAATGAAAACATGGGCAGCTTCACAGACTTGCTGCATCATCTACCCCCTGCCCTGTTGTGTAAGGTAGGACGTGAAGGGGAGGGGGATTGTGATATAAAGATAGGACTGTGATGTAAAGGGAAGCGGATGTGATATATAGGGAGCGGGATGTGATATAAAGGTAGAACTGTGATGTAAGGGGGGAGGAGAGTATGATATAAAGGTAGAACTGTGATGTAAGTGGGGAGGAGAGTATGATATAAAGGTAGAACTGTGATGTAAGTGGGGAGGAGAGTATGATATAAAGGTAGAACTGTGATGTGAGGGGAGAGGAGAGTATGATATAAAGGTAGAACTGTGATGTAAGGGGGGAGGAGACTATGATATAAAGGTAGAACTGTGATGTAAGGGAGGAGGAAAGTTTGATATAGTAGAGGACTGTGATGTAAAGGAATTGGCGGGATGTGATGTTAGGAAGAAGGGGCTAGGTAAAGGGGAACTGTGATGTAAGGGGGAGGGGGGCTGTGCTATGAAGGGAGGACTGTGATGTAAAGGAATTGGCGGGATGTGATGTTAGGAAGAAGGGGTTAGGTAAAGGGAACTGTGATGTAACGGGGGAGGGGGACTGTGATATGAAAGGGAAGACTGTGATGTAAAGGTAAGGCATGCTACAATACAGGGAGGGGGGAACGTGATATGAAGGGAGAACTGTGATGTAAGGGGGGGATGAGGAGTGGAGATGTAATATAAGGGGAGCACTGTCATCTGTGATGTAAGGGGGGGGGTTAGGGGCTGTGATATGAAACTGAGGGCACTGATGTAAAGTGGGACTGTGATGTAAAGGGTAAACTAAGGACACGAATGTGAAGGAGGTACTGTGATGTAGCAAAAACATGGAGATTCAGACCTCTGCTGGAGAACAGTTTTACTGACTGGACCTTCGTGAGTTTTAATTTAATACCTATAGCCATGTGCTCCTAAGACTGTTGGTTGAGGTACCATTGCCTACATGAATGGGATCAGAGTTTGGAGACTGCCAGTCATTGTCAATTGCGATATTGATGGCATGTTGATTCATATCACAAGGATTCTTATAACAAAGATATTGCCTGAACTCGAACTTCTAATATAACATACATGTTGTGATCAGAAGATTGCCAATGAATATACCTTTTTACACTGGCAAGGCATTTGAACCATGGACAACTGATTTTATGTTGGCACCACAGTGGATACACATATGCTATTTATAGTCTAATCAAAATATACACAATGACTTGTGCAAGGGCTTTTATTTATCATTCTTCACACTAGTATGTTTCAATGGTAATTATTAACTGAGTAGACGTATTGTTGGCACAGTTTGTATGGGTTGATTATTATTGGCGATTTGAAAAACAATTGCTGCTTTATTTAGGGTTGAGCCACTTAATTGGTTTTGCCAACACTAGACTTTTCTGACATACGTACCCAAGTGAGCTCCTCTATTATCATCATCCTGATGAATAGTGTATATACGTAAGTAAGTGGGCAGTCCTTGAGCCCCTATATACTTGTGTGTATTTAGTCCTCATAGCTAAAGGATAAGTTCACTTTTGTAAAATAAAAAAAATGCACATATTTTTGCAGAAACAAAATGTGCATGTATTATTTTTTCCTTCAGAATACTGGAAAGCAATCTACAATCAGTAGATCACAGGTGCAACGTGGACTCCTGCAGACATGCCCAAGGACATGTCAGTGGACTACGAGAACACTCATCAGTGTCCCCATAGTGCACTGGAACTACAAGGCGGTGTCAGACAGTGCTTATAGTTTATTCATTCACAGGAATCTGTGAATGAACAAAGCAGCGGTGTGGGTGGAGCCGCACTGTTATTAAAAGTGACATCTGGTCACAGGGAGCGGGTGGGGAGAGGGGAGAGGAGCTGCATCATGTTATATGTTCCACCCTAAATACATGTGGAACTTGTAACATGTTCCAAAGGTGAATTTAGACTGTATGACTTCCAAAGCACCTGCTCCAATCACAAGATGTTTCTGGTGAGCAATGTGGCAGCAGAAATGTTCAAACCTTATAGTTTAAAAACTTGTGTAAATTTCCCAGTACATGGCCCATATGTCTTTTAGGGTTTTGTGCCATTTCTCTTTATTGACAAAGGGTTGGACTCTCTAATTCACATTGCTTGTCAAAATCCACACCCTGCACCACAAGCCAAAAAAATGGCTCGATCACCCACTGATTTGAGCAAATGAAGAGTCTGCAAGCAATATTACTTGTGCACATAAAACATTTTTGGTCAGCCACTGCAAAGTGTTTGGGTATATTGAATATAAATCACACTGTATTGGACAAATCTTACTGGGTTTCTGGATCTGTGGAGAGTAAGTACTATTTGCTTTACAAAGTACACGTAAGGAATCAAAGGACTGGTCTGTCAGTGCATGCATGCTCTGACTCCGCCACTCTTGTAGTC